CCCTTTGCATCATCTAATGTTTTGTCACATGAACATAGGTCAGAGCAATATAGCAAGTATGGTACAGTGAGTCTAATTTCTGCCTGTTTAAATGTTACTGTTTATTGTGTAATGAATCTTTCAAAAATTATGTAATTATTTCTGGATATTGGTTATATGACAGCATAATTATAAAGCTAAATACACTGTTTTGCATACATGTTTTTGAGCACTTTTGAGCACTGTTATTCCCTTAGCAAAGATAAGCCATTTTTCAAGTGTTATGTATGTTTAGAGAGCAACAGAGCTGATGGACAGAGTAGACTAATTGGCTTACAAATTGGTTATCTCAGAATCTAGACACAGTAAGTCCATGAAGAATTTTTACTCAGAGAGGGCAACTCTGAACTTGCATTAGAATAAAATCAGTGCAGATGAAAAGCGTTAAGATTTCTCAGAGTCAGATAGCAATCGAAAAGCAGGAGTCTAGAAGACTAAAAATTGGAAGAGGGCTTTTGCAGGAGCCAACACCTTTTATTTTTTAAGTAAGCGCAACACAATAAAGAACAAAGGAAGAAAAAGTAGGGGGCTTGCACCTGCTCTTGCATACAAAACTGTTCAGCCTGCATAATCTGGAAGTCAGCAGACCAGTTGCTTACTGCCTGTGAACCTTACCAACAGTTAACATAGTTCTTTTATGGCAGTACATAAATCTGCTGCTAGACTTTCATAGTTGTATACAGTCTTCAACTTTATTGAGTTATATGCATGTTTTGTTAGACCTACAAAGCATGAATGTGATGACTTTTTTCATAATGATGTAACTAATCTCTAGATCAAATTTTTCTTTATTTCATTTTTCTGGTGACTGTGTCAAAAGCAGGTTTTGGAAATGAAAATTGCTAATGATGAATTCAAATTTCAAAGGCAGTATTGTACTTTTAATACATCGTCAACTGTGTAATTGAAGATTGGGGAATCATTGCTTGGTCCCTGAAGGGAGTTTTTCATCATATGACGTTCTCTAGCAGAGGGAAGTAATGGGGCTAGGAAGGCATTACCGTTGCACTTTCAGGGCATCACATGAATGAGTAAGGTGTTGACTCCAGAACAAAATGCTTTAGAGTGGAGTTAAAAGGCAATGAAATACTGCAAGCTAATGGGAGAGTGGAGTATTGTTTATAGATAGTTGAGTTTAGTCAGCAGTTTTTCATACTGATTTTTTTTTTCAGATTCGTTACTGTCCAAAAGAAGTCGTGGTATGTAACAAGAAATTAAGTGTAGGGTGGCTGTAGCCATGATGGCCTACAGATGAAGCCAAAGAACGATGGTAGAGACAATTAACATCTTTTGTTTCCTCTACTCCCAAGGTACAGGTTTGTCTTAAGTTGTCTAACTAACTTTATAAATTAAACTTAGAGCAATTATTTTCAAACTGTAATTAACCTAATATTCTTGCCTCTGTTTAGAGGCACAGGTGAACACAGTGTACCTTTTTTTCCTGACTGATGTGCTGAAGTTATTAACTTCTTACAAACTTCACCTCATTAAGAGATATGGGCAGTTCTTCCTTTTCGTATGTCTGCTTGCAGAAGAAAATATGATAGAGGAAGGAATGCATTTCATGGAACCACTTTGAAGTTAATCATAGGCAGGTTTTCTCTCACATTTCTTGAGTACATGTGACTCTGGATGTATGTGCGCACACAGAAAAAGGTATAAAATAAAAGTCACAGTTTGTCTGAACAGATGTGTGTTGCTGCACTATCAGCACTGGGCTATCATTACTGGCGGCTGCTTCTCTGTCCATGGAAGCCACAAGAGTCATTCTGTTCCCATGCAAACGCAACAGTCTTTGGCTAGGAACTGTGCAGGCTGACTGCATGTGTTTGGACTGGTCATTTTAAGGAGTTATATTTGAAAATACATTTTAAATTAGAAAATACTGAAGTTAGGGTTCCCACAGCCCTGCAGTGTTGCCTGTGTGTTGTGGTAATACTTCAGTCTTTATCTTTCTAAATGTGTTGTTTAGTGTGCTTATATGTGCTTATATAAATTTACACACAAACCAATAAGACTATCTTAACACTGCTGTGAAAATTTTAATGCCAACATATGTAGACTGAAGGTGTTATACCAAACTTCGTATAAAGAACAGGAATCTC